TAACAAATTTAATGCATATGTCTGATCGTGTAATTAGAAAGCCTTTTATGCTTAATCCAGGTAGTGTTATTACTTAACATTTTATGTAACCATCTTAACTTTTAAGAATCTAACAATCTTCTTTCAACACATTCCTCTGCAGAAAGCTGTCAAAAAAATTATTGTAAAAATCAACAATGCATTGATACTGCATTTCTACTTTCCTCAGGATGAAAAAATTAGTCAGTAACTCAATCTGAGATAAAAACCCAAGGTCTAAGAACCTCGATAAACTCAGTACAGGAATAAAAGAAAACTATAACAAAGATCACTGTATTAAAATTGCTAGAGGTTCAGTATCTACACTTTTTGGTCAACTGCGAATTGTCTATTTAAATTTTTTGCTCATTCTTTAATTTTTTTTGGTAGTTCTTTATATATCCTGAACAAGTCCTTTGTTTCATGTTTGCAAATATTTTATCTCGAGCTATGATGTCTTATTTTAACAGTTTTTTTGATGAGAAGTTTTTAATTTCTGAAATCTCTTTGATGATCATTTATCATCAAAATGAATTTTATGGTTACTGCATGTATCCTAAGAAACTTTTGTCAACCCCTAAAATTACCAAATACTATGACTTCTAAAAAATTTATGGTTTTAGACTTTTATAATGAGGTGTATGGTCCCTCTTGAATTTTTGTATGTAGTATGATGTAGGGATTGAGGCTCATTTATTAAAATGTGGATATCCAATTATTCTAGTGTGAATAGTTGAAATGACTCTGCTTACCATGTTGTTGCAATGTGTTGCTTTTAAAGTTTTACTAGTAAATTAAGACAATTTTTAATAATCAAAATTTTTAAATAAATTTTTTTGGTTTATTCCTATAGTTCATTTCTTTTTCATGTTGATATTTGGTTTCAAAAGACTAGTCAATTGACAGATTATCAACATTAGACAACAGCCACTTATCCAAAACAAGTATGTGGACCACCTACTATAAAAGAAATTTAAATATGTAGAAAAAAATTACATTTCATGCTCTAAGAAACTGTTAAATAGAAGTGAAAGAAAAAGTATATACATAGACATTATTACAGTAATTCCTATGTCTTATTATTGCTACTTTATTTAAAGTAATTCTACTAACATGGTTTCATTTGTTTAGTCTTCTGGAATTTTCTCTTCATAAGTATAAATTGTTATACTGTAGAATTACAGAAAGAAAAATGCATTCCAAATAAAAAATAGATGTTAAAGGTAATTTTTGTAGAGCATTATTTTCAAAATATATCTACCTCGTTTTTAATACTTTAGCAATGGGTATTTAATATACTTAAACTGTGTTATACATTTAAAATTTTGACATTATTAATCCAAATTTGTCATCAGCCATGTTACCTTTTGGTGATTACCTTTGTGTAACATTATCTGACAGATTAAAGAGCAGTGGGCAAAATTTGTCTGCCAGTAGACACCTCATATTGATTTGGATCTTAACAACTCTTTTGAAACCCTTTGAGTCTTTAAAGGTCTACTGAAACAAAATGTAAACATGTCCAAAGTAAAAAAGAAATTTTTTGACAAAGAAATTATAAAAATGGATTTGTGAGATTATATTTGTTATATGTTTTACTGTTTATTAGCAAAAAACAGCACTTAATTCAATGGCTGTAATCCTTCTTTTATATACCAGTTCAACTGGGGATTATATAATATTGTCTATCTTTTAAAAAGTTTCTTTAGTGACCTCACAATTAGCAAAGTCCAAGCAATCAGGGTGTTTTATCAACCAATGAACTAGTGATATAATTAAGAAAACAAAACATTACAATGGTCCTCATTTCCTTCAATTTATTTCTCAGAAATCACCTTCTCAGTGAGGCTTTCCCTGGATGCTCTATTTAAAATTTAAACTCTCTCTCTATAATCCAACTTCATATTCCCTCTCCCCTGATTCTCCCCACTTTCCACTCATTAGCTCTTATCACTATCTAACATATCCTATATTTGACTCATTCATCTTTGTTTAGTATCTGCACTCCCCCACTAGACTCTAAGCTCCTAGAGGGCAGGGATTCTGATTTTTGTTTACTGCTGTCTCTAGGTCACTCTCTGGAACCTTATAAGCACGCAAATATTTATTGTATAAATAATGAATTGAGTACAAACCAAAATATTCCTACAGAAAACACTATGAGGTCATTTTTTATTAACAATGAATGGATGACATCTAACATGACCTATATCCATTCCTGAAGCCAAAAATAGCAATTCATTTTTCTCAAGCTAACACAATGAGAAATCGATAGCAGATTTAGAACTATATGGCCATATACTTAATGTAAACTATTTTGCATGATAAAACTGAGGTCAACAGTGATAATTCAGTTGTATTTAGTAAACAGTGAATACCTAGTTAATGTAAAAAACAGCTAATAGGCAGAAATGGGATGAGAAAAGATGTTTCTTTATTCTTAAATTAACATTCTGTCCACAAAATTATGCTACTTCATTTAAAACAATGAATAATCTTTTGCCAAATGGGAAAAAGGAAAGGAGTAGCTATGTATAGGGAGTTATAAAGAAAACAACCAAATAAAAGAACAAAAAATAAAATAGAAAAATACAAACTCTCTGACCATTAAAGATATAAGTTCATCTAACAAACAGTTTGTAGCTGAAGGAGTCCCTTAGTAACAAATGATAAGCAGATGCACAGGTTATAGCTGGTTTTTTCTTTTTTTCTTATAAAGAACACAAAAATACTTGAAAATGTTTACCACTTTAAAGAAGGGAAAGACTGACAACCTTCTGGCCATCCTTAGTGTCCCTGTCAGAGTATTCATGGCATATAACCAGCATTGCCATAAACTCAAGGTATAGATATAATGAGATGAGTGGGAGTTAAAAGATGAGATTGTATGACTACCTGAGACACTGAGTTCAAGCTTTAGGATCATAAGTGTTTAAATCTGATTCTTTAAGCCACCTAAAGCTCTGTGAATACACAAGATGATCCACATTCAAAAATCACTTACCTTTATTTTGCTGAATAGAGCCATATACCATGATAGACCACTTTCAATAATGAGATGGCTCAGAAAGTATATATGAATTCAGAGAATGTTGAGACCCCATGCTTTGCAGTACTGAGAATTTAATCTTTCATTTGAAAGAATACAATCTATCCAGTGAAGTTCCAATTATAGATTTCATAATGAATCCTACTTATTGCTTCCTGGATCTATCAATTCCATTAATGGATGAATATCTCTTCTGAATCATAACTCAAGAAGAAATGTCACTATTTTATCAATGATATTTATAACAGAAACAATAAGACAATAAGCCCATTCTACTTGGATGTATTGGTCATTTATACATAGCAAGTAGAGTTCTGGGGAAAATACCAAAGATAATCAACATGAATACAGATATTAAGATAAAATTATATGCTTTTCATTTCAGACAAACTAAACCAATGGGGTAGAAGGGAGAATAGAGCTCTGAGTTTTATAGTGCTATGGGCAGGGAGGGGGAGAAAAAAATGAATAAATTATCAAACAAAATTCCATAAATCATATAAAGTAAGATAACTGTTCCTAGTTAATTTGGCAAAAGTATATAATAGAACTGACCATTGGAGCATGTTGACTAGAGTCTAATATAAACAATAAAAGCATTCTACTGATATAACTTAGGCTATTAAAATATTATTTAGAATCATTTTGCAACATATACACATATCCAATTATGTTGTATAGTTAAAACTAATACAATGCTATATGTCAATTATATCTGAATTTTAAAATAGTATTTGGTTTACATAGAGTACAAACCCTTTTGCACTTAGAGAACATAATTCTTGGTACAAAGACAAGATGCATAATTCTTGGTACAAAGACAAGATGCATAAATAAAGCAGTTAGTAGTTATAACCATCATTCTCTTCAAATTTGCTTTGAAAGGATAAAAAAAAAAAAAAAATCCAGTACTTAAATTAATGTGCAGCTTGTGTAAGTTCAGTATACTCAGGGAGAATTCAAGTTTAAAAAGAATAAATCAATAGTATTTTAGAAATACATGTTATTCCATCCACCCAATAATAAATTCTATGTCTTTTTCCCCCCACATAAATCCACTGTATAATCTTTGAAACTCAAAATAGCTTTAATGTAATTTTTAAAATGTAGTTCTTTAATAAGAATAATTATAAATACCAGGTGAGATTCTTTTCAAGTCCAACATAAGAGCTTTCACATATAAAATAAATATCATACTTTGCTGTAATCTTGTTATAAGATCCTTATTTTAGTGATGCTGATTATCTCAAGGTATACTTGGAATACTTCTTTTGGATATACACATAGTATCATTAGGCTAAACTCACAATTCATTTCAACCAGACAGTGTTACCCAACTTAAGCACTTATTATTCAGACTTAAAATATCAGCTATTCCTAAAATATATAATCTACACTAAAAGACAGGAATTTGCTGTACTGAGATGATTCAAATGAAAGTGAACCACAAGCCTTGAAAGTAATTCTAAAAGAAGTTTCACAATTGCTTTCAATAGTAACGAAAGCACTGACACATAATATAGTTTCTAAATACAGTTATATGGAAGAATATTTATTTATAAACTACAATTTGTTTAAAAAAAAAAAAGACCTGTTTATCTCATCAATCTATAACTCTAACCCTTCGTTTTGAGTTTAGATGTAAAAAGCATGAAGAATATTACTATTTTTTTAAAATGTCATTTAAAATTTTCAAATTATCGCAATTTCTGGACTATAAAATAAACATTTAATATTTCCAATTCTAGACACTACAAATGTAATACAAGTTCTAATTAATACAGATTTAAGTGATTCCTGTAGGCTTGTTGAGAGTGGGAAAGATTCTAATTTTTGAAAATGACAGAAAAAAATTTTTTATTTGAGTGAAATCAACTATTTATAAAATATAACTGCTGTCACACAGGCAACACAAATAAATTGCTTGCTCTAATGAACTTTCAAAAATGCATTTTAATCTCATTCCAAAAAGAAAATTTCTAGATACAAACACATCTCATTCAATAATGTTTTAACATACATACATTCAGCAACTTAAAATATTATAAGAATTCAATATTTTCATCTTTTATAATCTCAATATATTATATATTTAATATATAATATATACAATACATAAAGGTAGTCAGCAGGAGTACAAAGTGACTTTTTAAAAGTCTGATCAATATTGATAAATATTTTTAGATTATTAAAAAGAACTATTTAGAATCATAAAATATGGGAGGCCCAAACCTAACAGCAAGATTTCAAATGTTCATATAGCCAATCATTTTGAAAGATTCCCTCAAGGTGAATAAAATACATTTAAAAACAATACTCTTGTTATTCTCAAGCAACAATACTTACAGATATTAAGCATGTACATCTATTAAATTTAAAATTACTATGCAGCTTTCTTTACTGTAATATACAGTAGCTATTGTTTCATTTCTGTTGGATTTGTTGTTGTTGTTTGAAGAGTGACTAACACATTACCAACAGAAGCGACTTTAGCTCCTTTCCCCCCTCTAAAACATGGCTCAGTTTGAAGATTGTTGTACAGGCAGCCATACAAATATTAACAGTACCTTAATACCACTAAGGGAAATCAATCAATAACTAGAGTTATTTGAAAAGTTTCAAAGACTGTTGCAGGTTTCTGTAAACCAAGGTAATCAGAAGTATTACACTTGTAGATAGTCCTCTCACATCAGTTAATACAAGGAGCTAAAATCCCAATGCCACAGTATAGCACTTAACAATCGATTCTGTAATTTTACATGTTATACCATTAATTCACCCTGAGAATACAGAGGAAGTATCTCAAATAGGATATTCCAATATATATTTTTTTCTTTGTATTTGCTTTCTTCTGGTTTTTGTCAGCCCTTCAAGGGCACAAATATTTGAATCCATAGCATGACTTGGATATCCTTTTTTGTAACTGAGATTCATGCCACAGTGAGATACTGGTGATAGAAAAGCCCAAAAAGGCTTGTAGAAAAGAGACAAGCGGCAATCCACCAGGTCAGAAAAGATAAAAGTCCTCGAAAAAGCAGAGGAGTGAAAATGTTTTTTAAGCTGCTCAGCGCCACTGTTATTTGTGTAACAGTTACCTTCATCTTCCCATCAGCAGAGGGTAAGTCTGAGTAAACAGAATTGGAAGGTAGACTAGTATCCACTGGCAAGGTAGAGAAAGATTCTGGATAAATGCCCCAGGAATGATTACCTGGAAAATTCAAGACACAAATAAGACTTGAAGGTTAACTAATTCCAAAGCTTTTTATTTAAAAAAATTAAATTCTTTAACTCATATTTGAAGTTAAGAATAAGAAATTTAGCGTTTGTTAAAAAATAAAATAAAATAATAATCTTTCTATATACTTGTTAAAAAAAGCACTTAATTTGACCAGGCTATAATCTGGCTTTATTAGTAAAAGCACGCACAAAAGCTACAAGTCTAATTTACTTTTAATAACTACCAGATTTTAATAAAATCTGGTAAAATAAAAACAATTTGTTCCTTGTATAATGCATGAATCAACTACCTCTACTGGAGTGACAAAGACAGACTCAATAACTTCTTAGAATTCTTTTCTCCCTTAGAATAACAGAATAAATTTCTTCCTCAGAAACTAACTACGATTTCAATGTGAAAGACTATTAATAGCTTCTAGAAAATTTTTCATCATATACTTTCCAATGTTGGATAGGATATGAGTCACACAATATACAACTGAGCTACTCCTTTATGTTCCATAGATTCCTAAAGGACATTTACATCTATCATCAGCTCTATGGTACTTACTAAACCCACCTAAAGAATACTTTTAGTTCCTTTAGCTTCTTAAACCCTCACATTGGCACCAAGGGAAATGATCAATACCATAAATGACAGTTCTTGAATGACACCACACAGGGACTTGACAGCTTAGTGAACACACTTATAGAAGAACTTTGTTCCTCCATGGAGAAATCTTTATTTTTTCAATATAAATTTTCACCAAAGGATTCTATAATTCATATAAGTTTACAAGAACCTTGTAATAATTTAAATGTTAAACACTAACAAAATCTTAAATCCCTTTACAACACAAAATGGCTAAGATCAACAGTGCTCACTCAAGTTATTCAATAAATTTGGAAATTAATCTCTAGTAAATAATTCTTATAAGTAAAACATAACATTAGGAATCAATTTTTACAGCTAAAGTCTCCCATGTTTCCTTTTAAAACTTTTATGAAGAGAAACAATTTTAAGAGGCATATTTCTTTGTAGGTAACAAAAAGCATTATTAATTACAGGTAGAAAATAAAACCTACCTAGTGTTTTTAAAAGCAGAGTTGTATGAAGAAGCATTACCAGAGGTGCCACATACTGCAGTGCAATGACACAAAGGTAATAAAAGACTCGAGCCACCTGCAACCAACAACATTCTTAAGTGTCTAATATGGCTGACATGTTATGAGTGATTTAAACTTTCATATAATTATCAAACTTAATTTCTTAAGAGACAAGTAATCTTTTCCTGCTAAGGAAGCTAAATGGTAATAAGTTTGCATTTCATTATAAATGTTCCTAAACTGATTTCAGAAGGCTCGGTTTGAAGATAAGTTTTTTAAAATGTGAAAATATTAAAATAGATACCTTAAAAATAATTAAGTGATTAATATAAATTGAACAAAATAACCACTAAAAGTCAAATGGTATATATTCACTTACATTTCAAATATAAAACAAAATGCTAAAATCTCTAAGAGATACCTAAAACATCAAACTAAAAACAATAACTGGCAGTCATATATGAGCATAAACCCCTCGAAAATAAAAACATTAAATTATTAACCCATATGAATATATTTACTGAGGTCAATGTATAGAGTATGAAAATATACAAAAAGAAAAACAGAAAAGTTGTTTGAATCTTGATCAACACTCCTGACCTATAAATGTGTGAGTCAAAAACAGGACTCAATCCAATTCTCTAAGAAAAAAAACATGATCAGGTTATAGGTCCAGTCCATTACATTATAATGTTAAATATTTAACTGAATTCTTAACAATTTACAACTGAGTTACTCCTCTATGTTCCACAGATTCCTAAAGGAATTTACATCAATCATGAGCTCTGTAGTACCTACTAAGCCCACTCAAATAATACTTTTAGTTCTTCTAGCTTCTTAAACTCCATTATATTTAACTTAATCCTCATTAAGTTAAATATTTACATTTCATGTTCAATACTTAGAATAATCTTAAAAGTCACTGAAACTAATATTTCTTACCCTTTAATTCATAAAGGCTAAACAATAGGTTGTAATGTTTTTCAAATCAATTAGGGGGGTCTCATTTTAGTAACAGTAGACATATCACAGCTTTGGACCACCCAACTGTATGATACTTAAAACACTTATGGTAGGGAGAGGAACTGAGACCCTATTTTCTTCATTTAGCACCAAAATCAGATCAAGGTCTCTTTGGGTTCTGTCTGTTTAAAATTATCCTATTTATTTACAATAAGAATACTATGAAATAAAATGATTATTAAAGAAAACCAAATTTTTTTCTAGTAACACACAGTATTTGCTATTTTTCATTTTAACTAGTTTAAAACTTACCATTTTCTGTAGCTCAACCGTACTTATTCGCCCTGCTTCTTTCTTCATCTGATCCACACATTTCTGGGCTAAGTTTAAATAAGCTTGCAGGTGACTACGCATCATGGCCAATCTCAAAGCACACAATAGGATTATTATCCAGAGTCGCAGAGTATCGAATGTAGCTTCTGTCATTCTACAGAGCAAAAAAGTTGACATGGTGCTCTCAAAGACCAAAATATTCTAACATGCTAGTTATATATGTTAATGTTCACCATATAATATAGGGAACCTGTACTTAGCTAGAGTTGGAGATGTAAAGCAAAAGTATCCCACCATCATAGACTTAACAATATAATACTTTCACTTGCATAACAGAACCAGATAAGTAAATGTATCATGACAGTAAAGTAGTAACAGATATCTAGAAGAAAAAAGTAGAGCAGTACTTGAGATCCTTTGTTTTCATTTACCCTTTTCCATGGGGGGAAAAAACTGGCTGAGGAATGAAGAGATGTGGATGCTCTTAAACTGGAAATCAGAAGAAACAGGAGACTGCCTGTGGAACTCTCTAGTCAATGACCCATCTATTACTGGCTAGAGTTTTGTCTGATTATATATATATTTGCATAGGCTCTTTCAATCTGCTGAGTTCCTGACTGAGATGACTGGAAAAAAAATCAAGATTCTGATATATTATGAAGAAAGCAGAGGCCTCAGATTTCTCTCCAACAAGTCACTTAACCTGCTATGTGCTGAAGCTGGCTCAATTTCTGAGCAATCAGTCAAGGCTAAGGTAAGGACTCCACATGAAATGCATCCTTAGAACATTTTTTTCAGAAACTAGACTACTGGTGAAGGCTCCTTAAAGGACTTTAGAAAGAAGAGAATTTCTGATGTCCTTTTGGGGTTTAATGTTTTTAAAGGACCATAGTTTCTGCTTTGATAAAGTCACATTGTGAGTAATTTGAAAGTAATGACTAGACCATGCTTGGCATCTAGTCTACTTTCTAGCACATACCAGGTACTTAATATATGACTGTTGAAATGTGTGGAGTGATCTGCCAGAATAGGAAGACAAGGGTCTCCCTCAAATTTCTAAGACCTTGAGGGTAAAATATATGGCTATAAAGAAAAACAAATGGGAAAAGATAAAACACCTTATAACACTCCTCCTCCAAACAGTTTCATTATCACCTCTTCCTTCTGTCCAGTTTTAAGTACCTAGGAAAGGAACTAAAATATAGAAGTTGCCTGGGGCAATAAAGTTGAACAGTACAGGAAACAGAAAAGGCAGAGAGGAAGATGTAGAAGTGTACACTTTTGTTTGAACTATTTATGAAATGGAGGTCAGAAATGGGGATGGAACAAAGGCTTTATTATGTGTAGGCTCTCTTGGTTTCCTTTTTACAAAGTCATGAGTGCACATGGATATAAAAATTCCAATGGAAAAGAACTGTTGCCTAGGAAAGATAAAGGCATAACTTTTTATCCACACATTTCAACTATATTGAACAATGAGTGTAAGGAGACAGTCACGTGAGATAGTACACAAGATGCCAAGGCCATCCACAGCCTTGAAACTTTCCAGGAGGCCTACAGACAACTAACTGTGCTTCGTGGAGTTGTGCAACAAGGAGGCCTGACTGGTAGCATCTTGAAGACAGCTATTCCATAGGTTGTGAGGGTGCTAGATAATAGGAATGGAGGCAATGGAATAAAGCAGTGTATCAAAAAATATTGCTCAATTTTGAGCAGTTCAGGATTTAGAATAATAGTCATTAAACTGTACCTTCTTATTCAGATTATTTAACTAACTTTATAAATATCTTGAAATTGATTTGATGGGGTATCTCAGGAAGGCTGAGCTGGGATAAAATGCATAGGTACAGAATAGGCAGAAGACATTTCTCCAAAGTCCTGAAGCCATTCTAGGTTTCACCATATATGTTTTCCTTTGGTTTTCTTCTTATGAGGTCATGAGTACACACTGACTCTGTTTACCCACATTTTATTATTTTGATGCTAAATCAGAACACATGGATGGATTAAAATATATTTCTGGGTTGAAACTGCACTATAACCATTTAGTCCATGTTACATATGAAGAATGCCACTCGTTTCCTCCTTCAGCTCATTCTCTTTGATTAGGGCAACATTCTTTCTCAATTTACCACATATACTTCGAATTTTAAACAAAAAATAAAAATCACAACGTAATGGTCTGACAAAGATTAAGGTGAAGCAGAGACAAGGCTGTAATTGTGTTGGAATTGCTTATGAAACAGGTCAAAAATGGAGATAGGACAAAGGAAACAAAGCTATAGGAAGAGGGTTCTAGGTCTTCATACACAATAAAAATTTTCCTATAATTTAATATATACCCAAGTGAAAGAATTCCTTATCCCCATTTCCTTTAAGTGTAGGAATTTGTACTAATTGCTACTAATCTGCACAAAGTTTAGTAAAGCTGAAAATGAGAAATGAATATTGGTATAACTACCAAATGCTTTATATATTCCAAATCTGACTGAATAACCTTAGCCAAATCATTTAATTTCTGAGTCTGTTATTTCATCTATAAAATGAGAACTGTAATCACAAACAGAATTACTATAAGAATAAACATATAAAAAATGTAAAGTATCAATACCTGATACATAATAACTGATGTATGATGAATACATCATAAATACTGGGTTACCTTGTTTTTCTAATTAAACTAAGGCAAATATAAAGTCAGAGAACATAATTATAGGAGCATAAAATCCAACTGCTATGACAAAGCTTCATAGAAGGACTGGGAATGCTTTCAATATCAAAGACATGAGTTAGAAGTTTCTCTGAGATTTTGTCTATAACTCTAAGATCCTTAGGATATACTTTTAAACATTTAGTGAATCTGTCAAGTTAAAATTAACATTAAAGCATACTTGTGTGGAGAAAAAATATTACAACTTCTATAAATACTTCCCTAGTTCGATAAGACTAACTCAAAAAAAAAAAAAAGTCATGGTCATCACTGATTATATACTCCAAGACAAATTTGTATCAGAATCTAAAAGAAAAATATAATGTAAAACTATGTATTTTATACTGTGGAGTCAATGACTAGTCAGGTTTTCTATTTAAAATTTGATAAGGCAAAGCAGTGAAAGGAACATTTATTAAGCACTTACTTCCAGCTGGTTACATTACATATGTTCTTTCATTTAATTCCAATGATAACTTGGTGAAGTAGATACTATTATCTTCATTTTCCAGATGGGGAAACAGAGGCTCAGGAAAGTGAAATAATTTTCTTCAAGTGACAGTTTTAGTGAAGATCAGAAATGGGGTTTAAACCAGCTCTGTCTGAATTTTTCTATTACTCTAACATAGTTCCACAAGGCTAATGACTTAACATATAGTTATTAATGCCTTTTAAAAAATTGTTTCTATGTTTCCTTACCATCTTCTTTTGTTAAAATATAGTTGCTTAACGGGGAAATATGATCTAATATTAGATAATAATGTTAAGGCATTATTTTTTAATTTTGATAGGTGTATAATATTGCTATGTAGGAAAATGTCATTTTTTAGAATTGCATACTAAAGTAATTAGGAGTGAAAATGTTATGCCTCTAATTTATTTGAAAAACTACATCCAAATACAAAACAAAAACAGGATGAAGCAAATATGGGAGATGTTAATAACTATTATAGGGGCTTCATATGTGACTTTCCATTTATACTTATTTATTCCTCCATAATTTTCACAATTAAAAAATAAAAAATGCACAAAGTATCTTAAAAATAGGTACAATGACAGTAGAAAAATGTCAGATAACAGCTAACAACTGTTCAGTAAGTGAGAAACTTGCAAGTGTATAAGATAATATTAATGCAGGGTAATAATCATTCACATTTATTAATGAAGATCACAGAAGATTAAATGATGACCTGAAGCTTCAATTTTATGACACATCTTTTAGCACTTTTATTAATATTTTAAAAATACAGTGTCCTGATATTCTCCTTGAAAAACTTATATACACTATATAACATTTTGGAAACAGTTCAGATTACATAATGAAACAAAAATTAGCCCTCAAATACCCATACTTACAATGGGACACTTTCTTTACCCAATGGTGGGTTCATAATGTAGTCTTTGGTGATTGGTTTTACCCAGAGCAGAACCATAAATAAAGGTGCCAAGAAGTTGATATGAAGTAATGTTCTGAAAGTATGTAAGAAATAAACATAAAAATCCAGAAACAAAATACACTAATAAACTACATAAACTTGGGACTACAAAACGAATATGAAAACTTATTTTCAGTTATTCTATATTTAAGGTACTACTGTATCATTATTTTATATTTTCATTATCACTTAACACTGATTTGACCCCTTGAAAAAATACTTCATTATCTTAATTTTTCAGATGAGAACATTTAGATCCAGGAAGGTTAAACGACTTGCTCATAGCAATATTTCAGGTTAGAGGCAGATCTAGCACTAAACTTTAAATCTGTTCAATTCAATTCTAGTGTTCTTTAACAATGTCCTGTATCTCCCTGATTTAACACACAGGTACTTAAACGATTCTCTAACTTTTCACAGTCAATCAATCCAATGGATTCTCAGTATACAGGAGTTATCTTTTGATACTTTTTCTTGTAACTGAAACAAAATGCCTCATTATTTATAAATAAGAGACAGTAATTAGCAAGGTCCATTATCCTAGGAGGTGTGTAGCAAGTGGAACCTATTGCAACAACTTATAACTCAGGAACCTTCCAATATATAATGATCATATATATTGTTTTAATTACATTGCTAAATCATAAGTGGTTCACATATTTTTGTATCTTCTTGAATATAAACATACTGGAAATTAATTTTCCTACCCTTTACAAACCAAGGAAATTTACATTACTCCTAACAAAGCAATATACCTAATATAGCAAAAGGTTTTAGGTATGAGCTATAACATCGTTAACTCTTGTCCCAAGTTTGTACCCTACAGAGACGTATGACTAGTAGTGATTTTTCTTATTTTAGAAAAAAGAGAAATTTTTCAGATTATTTTATTACCAAGTACTTTCATTATCAACCATGATGAAGGGTTTTAAACACACACCACCCTTAAAATATCATTTCAATGCAAATGATAGTAATCTATGTGAGGAAACAAGAGGCTGGGTCAAGAAACCATGAACACCTGACAGGGATAGGTGGAACTGTGGTTCTAAGTTCTGGCATTAAAGTAAATATTAGTGCCTGGCCACAGAATGCTGCTCTTTGTGACAGTCATGCTACTCCCACAAGAGAACTAGCTTGCCCATACCCCTGTATCAAGGCAGAGTGCAACAACACAATGGGAGCTACAGTAAAATAAAATACTGTAAAATACAACAAAATACAATACAATAAAATAAAACTCAAAATCCCCAAGGGGAAAAACCTTAAAATAGCCAAGTTTTACGAAGAGGACACTAAAATGTGGCTCTACCCCACCCCAAACCGCCACTAAATGTTTTAAATGTTTTTATAAAGTAATTCTTTCATTTCATAGGCTGGGTAAACCATCGGGTACAAGGAAGAAAGCAGCAGTATTAGATACGCAGTGTTGCTAGGGAACACTCTAGTATTGAGGAGCAGCCCACAGCGGTTTCAGTAGCTGGTGCAGGGCTCCCCTCCACCCACCCTTTCAGCTTATTTAAATCATAACACTGGGGTTAAAGGACTGAAGTGTGTGTAGAGAGGAGGAGTGAGAAACAGGTTTTGTTTTAAAAGAAGCCATTAGAGAAGATGGTAGGAGGGAGGCAAAATGTAGCCACGAGCATGCTGAGTAAGAGGAGAAAAAGAGGGATGGAGTGTACTGGGAGGTGAGAATAAGTAAATACACACATAAAGCATATGTAAAAAAAAAAATGGAGGTAAGGAAAAAATAAGACGGTCAAAATTAAAATAAAGGAAAATGACTTAGGTAAGAGAGATAAGAACGTAAGATTAGAGAATCGGTATCATTAAGGTATGGCATTTTAAAGGACAGAAATCACTAAGAGAAACTTAATGACTATAAATACATGTATCAAAAAGGACTATTCTCAACTTGAGCTTAACTGCAAAACAAAAAGATGAGATGGGAATTTGAGTCTAGATATGAGTTGGAGATACTCTACCAAGGTGTCTACGGCAACAGAAAAATATCTGTGATGACCACAAAGAATATAGTAAATGGGCTTTGAACTATATGTGTATATATATACTTTTTTTCTATTTGAAAACTAAAAATTTAATAGTTAAAAGTAATCTATATTTGATATTATACGGTATTAGCAATCCCCAAATAAAACAATGTATATTTTAATGAGTCTTACAAATATATCTGCTGTATACAGATTTCACTCTCAAAAAAATTTTAAAATATTTTCAATAAAAGTATCAATTTAAATAAATTTATATAAAATTTAAATAAAATATTTTAATTAAGATGTTCTGCTTTAAGGAAATTTATATAGATGCTTAGTTCAGTGTAGAGATTACAATATCATAAAATTCACCTGAGTTAAAAAGAACTAAAATATTGATTTTTTTCCATTTTAACAAGTAAAACGATTTTGTAATTGATGTTGTATTTTCTGAACACAGGACTTAAAATTTTAAATGAATAAAAGAAACTCGCTTATAGTGCAAAGAGAAAGCAGTGTGACATTAAACGATTATTCATTAATTTTCAACACAACAATTTATGATTTCATTACAATAATATACCTTCATTAAGATGGAAAACATATATTTATCTGCATGTGCTTATGTACATTTTCCGCTTACTGTGTAATTTTTTCTGTTGCCAAATTCAGGGCATCCAGATGCATTTGAGCCAGCCGTAATCCAGGAAATGTCAAAAAAGCCCCAATGAGTGAACAGAAAATAGCCAGGAAAAATTTGAAAGTAAGTTTTGAAACAGGACTCCTAAAAATAAAATTTTTAAAAAGCTGATAAATTTTTAGAGTTAACTTTATAGGAATTTCCTTTCTTCTAATCAATTACTTTAAAAACCGCAATAACAATAGTACAACGTAAATGTCTACAAACTGACTGTTCTTATTCAATTACCTATAATGGGTTTTGGTGAACTGTACAGTAAACCAGGCATTCTTTAGCCACATTTGTAACAATCCAACCTACATATTAACACAGAATTTGATATATCACTCAGATATAAATTTAATTTTAATCTCTGGTGGCAGAGGAACTAAATTAAATCCAAGCAAGAATTCTATGAAAGAATTCTATATACAAATGTAAAAATTACGAGTAAGAATATTTCTAAAAATGACAGTTCTATTTGGAAAAAAAACTCCTTTCACTGATTAAAAATAAAGAACTACTTAATAACAAATGCTATTTTACTAAAAATAGAAAAAAATTTAAATTTAAATCATGCTTAATATTAAAAAAAACTTACTGAGATTCTAAACCTTGCTTTTCAAGAAACTGCATCGCACTGTCTGAAAAATTTGTAAACCCTGTAGGGGAAAAAAAATTACTCTTATCACAGGAGTAAAATACAGGATCTATCTTTGGAAATAAAACGCTGGAAAACAGAGCATCTTAAATTTTAAAGTGACTAGTTTAGCTCTTTCATGTGCTAATTAGTATGCCATAATGCAATAAAATTTGGTTATTAGCAGGAATAGTCTTTGAAAACACTCCTTTGATATTTGTATATTCCATGAGTGTGCATAAAATTTGCATTAAGATTTGCATTCTTATCTATGTGAGTAAACTTTAGCATTACAGAAATTTCTTTAACTGTAAGGAAAAATGGAGAGGGAGCAATATTTCTGGAAAAAGTTAACAAAAAAACATCTAAAAGAAAAAAGGAGGATCTTAATAATAAAGGTTAATTATTTAGAACATTACAGAACATGCGCTTCAAACCTAATTTTAAAAACTTATCAGATATAAAACTTACTTAAATATTGAAGTCAAAAATATTAACACTAGATAAAGGAAAACTGATTTTTATAGTTGTATGAAATTATTACCTGTTTCAAGTCCAAATTCCAGATAATTTTCTGTTACAATCAAGACTGCCATTGCTTTCACGAAGAAAAAAAATCCAAAGGTAACACAGACTGATCTTTCACCACCATCTTTTACTTTAAAATAGTGTGTGGTTAATGAAAATAGAACTTTGCTGCAGAAGGAAAAGTTCAGGAAAAAAACCACAAATAACTTTATGGGAGTTAAACACAACCATCTTTACAGGAATTGAACTCCAATAAAATCTAACTACATTTATTTTGATTCTACAACATGTTTATCTACAAGGTAGCCATTGGAAGAAAGTGAAAAACTCATGAAAATCTAAAGTCTTCCAGGACATAGGACATAAAAATGAAGCAAATCTAAGTGAAGTTTATAATATTTATAATTAATGAAAAATGCACATACCCTCATTAAGCTGTAATTAGAAATGAATGTATTTCTAGTTTTTCTGACTCAAATTTTATTAGAAGGTCATTAAAATAATTTTATAAAATAGGTTCTTGGTGACATGAAAAGCCAAGGTGGAGGTTATATTAGGGAACTATCTTTTGTTGGGCATGTCTGTCAGGTAGTTTATATTTAGAATTAAATACAAATGCACACGAATCATAAGAATCATCCATAAATCATTCAACAACTCAAAACTTGAGAATTACTAATAGCCACTGGTAAATTGTGGTATAAAAACTAAGTATCTGGGATCACCATTTCACGGTATGATTAAACAAAAACCTGTAGAGAAATAAGTTCCAGTTGAGTACAAAAAAACAGTCAAAGGTTTGACATGCTGATCTATTAAAAATTAAAATATTTTAATTTTATATGAAAACATTAAACATAATTTTAGCCGAACTCCTCACAAACTGATCAAATCAAGAGCAAATCAGTGGATGATCTAAACTAGAACCCAGATTTCCACTGTATTGAATTGTTCTCCTTGAAAACATAAATCCACCAAACAAAATAGGGTTCTCGGCAAAAACAAATCTAGGAAAGCAACTTTTACATAAACTATATAGCAAGCATGAAAAATAATAACAGCTGTCATTTAGTACTTGCCAAGTACTACGCATTACCAATTAACTCATTTCAGTCTCACATTAGCCAGCTATTATCATTACTTTATAGATTTTAAAAAACTGTGGCACAGAGAAGTTAAGTAACTTGCCCAAGATCACACAGCTAGAATTGAGGCCATTAGAATTTAAATCTAGGCAGTCTGAATTCAGGGTCTGTTCACTTAATAACTTATTATACTATCTCTACAAAACTGTATATCACAGCTAAGTTACATGGCTGTTTAGCAGTCACACATGAAACCTTTTAAAAATAGAGCTGCCATGACAGAAGTAAATAGTTCAAACGTTCTAACAATCAGAGGAATTCTTATTCAGGAATGGTTGGTCAAGGATAAGGACTCTCATCCATACTCCTTAAAAAAAAGCTGTCTTTTGTCGCCCTATTTAAAAGGGTTTAATAATGTTATTACTCATTTTTTATTATTAGGATATTAACTAGGATACTGGATATAAATGTATTGTCCTGGTGGCTCTAGCTACAGGCACCTGCCCTAAGTTAGCCAACTTGAAGGTAATAAAGATAGATAGATGACTTTTTGGCATCTTTCAAATGGAACTTAAAAATGGAACACACCTCTGCAATACTATAAACTCCATGGTATCAAGGATTCGTCTTTTGTTCACTGTAGTTAGAGGACCAGGAAATGCCTGGCACATAGTAGGTACTCAAACAACTGATGAATAAATTTTGCCATAGAAATGTTTTACACAATAGTTTAGGTGAGCTGAAATAGTGCTAATTCTATACCTTAATGGTAAATAGACCTTTTGAAGTATGATATCAAAAGTTTCCCTGGGATAATATACTCTAAGTAGAAAACAATATACAAAAGGTTTTAGACTAAAAGCTGTTTTTATTGTTGGTAATAACAAATACAAGTTATTTACCACCCATAGTTATAAATTTAAAGGATTTTCTGGGTTTTATAAAGGCTAAGGCTTTGTTTTCCTAAGGCTTATTATGAATAGTTTCCCCTTTGAAATGTCAAAAAAAAAAAAAAATACAGTGCATAGAAATAGCTCATCTTTACCAACCTATTCCTGGGGCAACCAGGCCCCCAGAACAGTGTGTGATGGCAAGTATCTTTACTAACTTCCTTCAGTCAAGCATCTCATTTTTCAGTATCATCCCTTTCTTGCTTTTCACTGTTCTCATCTGTTAATTCTACTCTAGCTAAATAAGCTCCCTTTCACAAAAATCTCTCTTATTTTGCTCAAATACTATGATTCAAGATACTTTCTCAAATTTGTTTTCCTAATTACTTATTAGCAGTATTATTATGTTCCTTGAAAAAATTATGGTCTTGTATACTACAGACCAAATGAACTTTCATGGGCTAATCTTGGCAGGAGGAGGGGGGTCATTTATTTCTGTAAAAAAAGATTATTTTATTTCCAAGCATTTTAGAATACAATCTACATGTAAGTTGGAGGTACTCTCTAAAATCTGCTGTACAAGGAATTAGTTTTGACTGTTTAATATATTCCTTTATAGACTATTATAATGATATTACTTATAATGCTACATTCTATAAAAGTACCTGATTTGCTTCTAAGACAAGACAAAACCAGATAATGAAAAGCTAGATATAACCTCTGAAGTTTTTGATAAAAAATACCTCTGCATGTCTTCTATTTGCTATAATTACAGAATATATGCTCTAGGCTACATATATCTAGAAATACATATATAGAGCTTCAGTATACACCTTCTGAATACATTTACTAGATGTGTTACTTTCACTCTTAATGTCTTCTTATATTCATAACTCAAGTTACATATATATACATACACATATATATAAAATGGTCAAGTATTTGAACAAATTACTTCTTTAATGTAAGAAATAAGACTAATAAAAAAATGCCATTGGTTTACAATTATGACCCCCATCAAATATTCACCACCTTAACACAAAGTTATCTTGCTCAGTTTAACTCTGCAGTACTCTGGTTACAGCACAATATGGAAATCTGAAACTCTACTGAAGTAAAAAGGCTAATCCATATAATAACAGATGTCAGTTTTTCTATGATATTGAACATTAAGGGAAAGGAGAGGCTAAATTATTTTTATAACAAGAAAAATAAATCCTCAATAATATTCTGAACTTTATTGTATAAGTTTTCCCTAAATATATTTGTCAATTGTCTTATTTTGCCAAATAACTTCTAAGTCATTTATAAGCAATAAGAGTATACTGCATCACTGCAAAAGCTGGCATGATTTTGTAATATTAAGCGTAAATAGGACTGTCGAATTAATAGGATATCAAGTTCAATCAAAACTATTAATGGGGGTTTAACAAAGCACATGTAGTTTCCATGTCATTTTAAGATGGAATGTGAATATTTTAAAACTTTTCCACAATTTAATCATGTTCAAGCTACCACTTTTTTCTTTTTTATAAGAATATAATTAATTTCAGAGTTTTTACATTTTTGCCCTCGTGTCTAAGACAAATAATAGTAGTCTACAGCTGCTTTAATGTAAAAAGACTTTCCAATTTTAAAATTACACAATTTCCAAAGGAAAAAATTTATGAAGACTATGAATCCAGGATAGGATTCTGATAGTTACTTGTCTCTAGTGCAAGGCGATAAAGGCAGGACCTGCTCCACCATTAGTGCAAATCAATCCCATTAACCTAGGTGAGAATATATTGTTGTTAATGAAGGATTGTAATGACAGGAGCCAGCTGTGTGTGCAGGCAGAAAAAGAGGTTACAAAGCATTAACCTAAACCATTTTGCATAATCTAAATTCTTGGAATAGTTTTCAAATTAAAAAGGAAATAAAAACATTGTAGTTTAAATTTGCATTATGATTTATTTAGTAGTTCAATTAACAAAGAAAAACTACAAAGTTAAGACTATGTTTAAACTTTCTAACTTCCCATATACATATTAGTCTATTAAACAATTATTTTTAAAACTATGCAATTTTAAAAAGTTATTAATTTTACTTGGATATAATTCTTAATTGTGTTTAAATCTTTTAGCCTTTTCCATAAAAATGTAATCTGAGAGGCACAAAGGATGGCAGCTTAAGAAAGAAAAATCCTCGCCATAATTGATGAATCAGTGGTATAAGCACTGTATTTAAAAATATGAAGATTTTTGAAAACCAGAATAAACAGCTAAAAAGTATCAGAAGTGGCAAGGGGATAGGTTAGGGGACACTTAGTTTTTCATACACCACTTTTAGTACTTTTTTGTCTAACATTTTAGAAAAGTCAATCTAGATTTTAATAGTTTTCATCTACAATGAACCCACCACTCTAGAAAAAAGTTCATTACGCCCTGGAGTTTAACAGATCTTAAATTACAAATTCGCAGTATAAAAGTACTTATGTTTGTTTTACTAACCTTTTCAATCTCATGCACTATTATTTCCACATCCCATGAATTAAAATATAATGAATGTTAATGATGATTAATAATAAACCACCTGTTAGAAATGTTTCCCATGCTTGTTAAATACTATTACAAAATGTTAAGATTTCAATATAATCTAGTCCATCACTGGCAAAGATCCGATATTACACCCAGAATAGAACAAGTATTTAGTCTGTTTTATACAGAAGTAAACAGGCAGCTTTTCTAACCAGAGTTATATTCTCCCCACAAAGGCACTGGGTATTTTCCAGCAATACCCAGTGCCTACCAATTTGTTCCTGGTCAAGTTGAGTTAAGCATAGATTTGCTGAACCAATTCAAGTCTATTTTGGGACTCTATTTCGTACAATCATCATCATGTTTCAACTCAAAACTCAACTGTTGTTCTACCAAACTTTTAGAGCAACATGTATTTTTTTCCATTTATATATAATAAGCCCAAATAGTAGTACATGGTAGTAGACTAAACAAAAATCTCCTAAGACAGACTTTTGTTAGCATCAGAAATATCAGAATATAAATCTGGCTTCCTGAGAGAAAGAACTAACCACACTTATGGTATCCTATCCTATTTGGAGTTCCTCGCTGACAATTGTAATAACCTTATTTTGAGATCACTTATAGAGACCTTCTTTCTGTACTAGGTAAGACAGTAATAAAATTTCTTATTG